GGTCAAAAGGGTCTTTAACATGAAGACCACAGCATTACAGCTCCTGACAAAAAAAGGCTCCAGCCCTGATATAGTTTTTTGATCTTGTCTTGCTGTTAGTGGCCAATGTACATTTAGCTCCCATGGCATGTTTATCTATCATTGAGCTCCTATCATACAGCCCTTGCAACACATTTAGCTCCCTAACATTTTTGAGCTACTGTAATACACTAAGCTCCTGCAAAAAACGTATGCACTATTTCTATCTTAATAGGAGGCTATATCTTGGGCCTTTATGTCTAAGTCTAAAGCCAATTTATCTCAAGTTGAATAGTCTGGGTCACTTTAACAAAATCCAATATGTCAGTAGGCATATAGTTGAAGTCTGGAGTCCTCTGGCCAGTCAGTTATGACTATTTTTTTGTTGTTGTGGGTTAATATGTTTGGGCTGTTTGTCACTGGCTTTTTCAACAGTATGTCCTACACTAAAAATTGATCTATCAGACATAGTAAAGTTCCCTTTCAAACCTGACGATCTATAGGGCAAGTGAAGTAGAGTTCACTTGTTTCTGTGACCTCGGCATATTAAGAGATGGTGTGGTCAGCACCATGCCCAGCCACCTTTACTTTCCTTAACATGAGTTAGGTACCCATCAGAGTTGGGTGAACTCAGGGATGGTCTACTGACTTGAACCCGGATTCAAACTCGAGACTTACAGGTTAGCTGTCCAGCTCTCTATCGCTAGACCACTCCATCCCCAATCAGACATAGTATCAAAACTAATTTACAAGCTTTGACCACAAACCCACCAAATGGGCATAGTGTAAAAGAATGGAAATAGAAACCTCAATAGGACAATAAGATGCGTATTTATCTGCACTGCAATTTTAGAAAAACCCTAGACCTAACCTATTCCTCACAGAAGTTTCACTACAATAAACTTAGGTTAAGCACATACCTTTTTTGTATATGAGTACTAGTATTGTGAATGCAAAAAGGACTATAGATGGCAGTATAGGCTTAGTAGCAAAATTAACAATTATTATACCAAATTCTTTTTGACTAAATCAGATGGGGTCTATAGTCTATTACCTTATCAAAAGTAACTAGCAGTATTGATTAAATATATGTAACTAGGGGAAGTTACCAGAGATATAAGAACGCAGTACAGCGCTGTCAACTTTGACACGACTGATGCAATAACACAGGTGTTGGCTGATAACGATCAGAAAGCCAAGGCGTAGTATCTTGGGAAGCGATACGATAAGAACGCAATACGGTCTGTCAACTTTGATGTGACAGGATGCAGATGGCTTATTAAATCGGACTGTACGACAGAAGCGGCGTAATTAACATTCTGATGCAACGATTAGAATCGATTACGATTACGATTATGATAGAACCGAATACGATTACGAATACGAAGGGGATATATAGGAAGGCGACGGCTGAGCTCGCTCTCTCTCTCGATCAGTCAGTCAGTGTGGCAGTATCAAGTTGGTTATTGAACGGGTTAGCCGTATTGTGTTAAGAAGGACGATAGACATGTGCATTCAGTTATGTGAAGACTAGTGAGGACTGTTGGGGGTCAGTTGATTCAGACTATTATTGTGAAGCATTCCTTTTGATTCATTATATTATTGTGAAGCATTTCTTTGATTCATGTAATAAAAGGATCAATAGCGAACCTGCATCTTCGAGTATCTATACTGTGGTCGATGTTGTGTAGAATGAGTGGTTAGACTCGGTAACATTTGGCGTTGTCGAGCAGAACTCGTTAACATTTGGCACTACAGGCAAATAGTCTCGTTACATATAATTTACATGTAAAGATTCTTTTTGATTAATGTATTGACACACTATCAAACACAAAGTATTACTATAGCAGCCTTAATCTTACATAGGGGTTGTCCATAAATGATGTCACACTCGTAGGGGGGAGGGGGGTCCGTAATTTTGTGACGGTGTGTGATGAGAGGGAGGGGGGGTTCAGATGGTGCGACGTCACACATGCATTATAAAAAAGCAATGTTAGAAAACTGTTTTAATAAATTGTAATAGGAATTGATTAAAGTACTAAATTTTGACAGAGTTCGGCGTGGTCGAGTCAGTAAAGCTCATGGTTGCTAAACCTAAAAGTCTTGAGTTCGAACCCTCGGGCAGATGAGGCTCGTTAGCTGGGGACAGCCACTCTTCTAGGAGAGACAACTCCAAAATCAAACAACTGCTGCCTTCCAGTTTGTTCTTGGTTGGACAAAATGCTATGGAAGCAAATCCAAAAAGAAAAGCAGGCTGAAATCGGAGTCAATGGCCTCAATGGCGCAAAACCAGTTGACACGTATCCTTAATTGTGATGGAGGCGTGGTCGAGTTGACAAAAGCTCTTGGTTGATAAAATCGAAAAAGTATCGAGTTCAAACCCTCTGGCAGATAAGGCTCGATCCCTTCCAACACTAAAAATTAAGAACGAAGAAGAAGAAGACAGAGTTCAGACAAGATTTTGGAAAAATATCAATGTTGAAAAAAAAAATTCAGCTGCGATTTTGAGGGGGGTTGTAGGCTGAGGTGTGACGTCATTTTAGGGGGGGTCTGTCTTTTTGTGATGACGTGTGACAGGGGGGGGGAGGCAAAAATAATTTTTAAAAAAGCGTGACGTCATTTATGGATGACCCCATAGGCCTACATGTATTCTGGCTTTATGTAACGATGGCTAAATAAAAAGTATACACCTACATTTAATTAGTATTACATCTTTGAGGATATTCTTTTTGCCTCAATGTAGTGAATTATAAAAGAGAGTGTCTATTGGTACTTTACTACAAATAGCCCTCAGAGGGCTATTCATAATTCGCTATTTTTAGCCAACTAATCAAATTTATTTTTAAATTTATTGTCCTGCGCATGCATGCATAATTATTTTTTTTATTGTCTTGCATATGACACTCGACTTTTTACCATTTGGTGGAACTGTTCCGGTGGTCATAGTGGTAATGCATCGGCTGGGTTCTGTTCCTTTTGGCTCAGAGATTTTTTTTTTTTTTTTTTTTGCTTTTTTAAAAAAAATTTTACTTAAGGATAAGGGCTAAACGTTAGGATTTAGGGCTTGACATTAGGTTTGGGATGGGGATTAGGGTAGTTAGAGTTAGGTTTAAGGTTAGTGATAAGGTTAGATTAAAAAAAAAAGTTAGTTCTACATAGCATGTATAAGAGAATTTAAGAATCACAGAAAAAATGCCTCATGCTGATTGGTAAGAGTATGAATAGCCTTCATAAGGCTATTTGTAGTAAAGTACGAATAGCTGCAGCCTTATAACATTAAAAAGGAGAATTGTAGTAAATGATTTTGGTTTTGACTTATGTAATTAGCAGGTAGTTACTCTCTGTACTAGCATCTATAACAGACAGGCAATGATGTTTGTTGTTGTCTGTCTTGCTAGTTATTCCCTAAGTTAGATAACTGTTTTTCTACTGACATAGACCTTGACCTTGCAGTAAATAATCAATGAACCCTAAATATGTCAACCTAGACTTCAGCCACTTGTTATTGAAATAAAGTATAAGCCTGAAATGTAAAGCATTAAGTTATTATAAAGCTTTGTTTAGTTGGGGTTAGCTGCTGCATACATTTCTGGCTAACAATGTTCTTATAGCTAATCCAAATGAGTTTAGTTGATTTTATCCCATTCCTAAGCACCAGAGGTTTAATTTCACAAGGGTAAATTACTAACTTTAAGCCAGCCATTTGTCCCTGTCTTAACATTGGTAGATTTCTTGAGATGTCAGCAAGAAAAATCTGACTAGTGGGACAGTACAGTTAAATGTTTTTCTTTATTAGCATTTAGTTTTGTTTTTAATGGAAAATATGGTTTGCCTTAAACCTAGAACTGTTGAATATTTTACCCCAAAATACTTTGTTGCATAGTCAGCATAAGCTTGGCCTTGGGTGAATATACAAAGGGGAGGGTTGACAGGGGGAGGGGTTAAGTAAAGCTTATCACCCCATAGCTTTGTGTGTGTTGTTGGGGGGGGGGGGGGGGCTATCAGGTGAAACAGGTCACAACAGTAATTGTAGCAAGGTCAGCTAGCCGCTATAGTTTTATTTAGGTGCAGGTGTTGACAAATTTGAAACAGAGTTACTGTAGCAAGGTCAGCTCTAAGTGAAGTTAAGGGAAAAGTAGTTATTTGCACATGTTTTTAACTTAGTAGACTAATTGTAGAAAGGTTATCTTTCAAACCCTGTCCTTATATATTAGCAGTCACGGAGCATGGCATTCAAAGGCTTAATTTCTGCTCTACATACATATGTATTATTTGCAAGGTTATACTGAAAATTTGTCTGTCTTTGATATTCTAAACGCCATTGATTTGACTCAAAGGTAAAGTGTAGTAACCTTGTGGTTGCTCAGTTCAAATTATATAGGCATGCTTCACAGCAACATGTGTTATACATTTTGCTATTCTTATGTCTGGTTTACTGTTGTCTGGTAAAGTTTTTCCCCTACTTATCAAGCTAAGAAAATAACATTACATCACATTGTTACATTACTTGAAGAAAAATTGAAAAAGCAATGAATGTACTCACTTTATAGACCTGCCCTTCTGATAAAGACATCCTTCATCTCAAATCTACCTGTTTGCTAAGTATTCTATATTCTATTATGCACAAATTCCTACTCTGTGTGTCCATTTTGTATTTCTCATTTTTGTAACTCTCTGAAATCTTAACCAGTTTTTAACAGATTGAAAGTGAAGGTTTTTTACTCTCACATCTGCGTTTGCCTCTAATCCCATCACATGAAAAAGATAATCAATAAAAACGTGGTTCAATATGAACTAGATTTATTTCACTCTCAGGGGTTTGATTTAAATTATAGAAAAAAATTTGACAGCTGTGTTTCTGATTCATGCCTATAAGATGTATTCAGACCATTCATTCATGGATTTTAAAAACAATTTTTTGATGTAAAGCCCCACACATTTGACTGTTGTCAAATATTATCTTAATGTATGCTTTGTTCCAGCCAGCAGGATGCCACCACTTCCTCAGGTTAGGGTACTCACACTCAATCAAGATGAGAACAATCAATACAAACTCTACAGGCTAGAGAAGGGTGAGTAACTCTGGCTTCTCTTGACTGGCACATGGGATGATAATCTGATACACATGGTCATTTAGATTCAAGAAACCGCAATGTCAGCATTTTTTTACATGAAATGTTTTAAATCTTTTTGGCATTAGTAATTCAGATTTTTTCCCCAAACCCCAGTTCTAAAAGTATAATGTAAGCTACAGTTGAAAAAATAAACTTGTATTATGAGAAGAGCTAAGTAGTATTTTAATTTGGATGAGCACATTCATTGAATAATTGATATGAACTCATAGACACTCTGGTGTAGTATGGTGCGCTTTAAAATATTAAAATTTGTATCACTTGTATCTTTAACAAAAAAAAACAACACCAAAACTGCTGAGCTGCTATTAAAATAATTATAAATATTTTCTTCAAGAGCCTTTTATGTTGTCAATGCACGTAGAATTTCTACTTCTTAAATATGCAAGTCAAGTATTTTTGATATAACATCAAGTGAAGCTGTGATAGCCTCAAAATAGATAGGTCCAACACACTGGCTGTATTGAGTACATCCAACTGTTCTACTTCACCTGCAGTGTGGTGTAGAAAAAACAAACATCAATCTTGTGTGCCCTGTTATCAGTTGGCTGTTAAAAAAAAAACATGTGCCTGTTCTGTAGTTGGGTTGTCAGGATGTTAAATTACATGCCACAAGAGAAACCTTGACCTAGAAAACCTTGAACTTTCAACTTTCCACTGTTTTTTTCGCCCAGTTTTTCATTCAAAATGTGTTGACCTTTTTATCTCTTCTTTCAAGCATTTTCAGCTGAGAGCTTGAAAAAAAAGTTAAAATTATTTACAGTATAGATCTAGTAGAGATGTACACAAATCTTATTCCAGCAAAGTGGGATAACTGCAAGAAAGTTTTGTTGCTACTTTCCCCTTGTAATCTCTATAGGCCTATATAAGTTAAGGCTTGTAAAAAACAAAACTTGTCTTGGGTCAGTTTCCCTTTTGATAATAATGGAAAAAATTAGATTTACTGTTAATAAAAATTTGTTTAGAAAAAAGAATGCAGTTGAAAACTTGAAGTTCCAAAAGTACTTAAGTCACAAAATACACATTTTGAGATTAGATACACAAAATCAAATTGTCTTTGAACATAAAGTATGTTTTTATTTGATATTGTTGTTTGAAAAATAACCTTCAATAAATACTGTAATATTCATATGTCTATATCAGATAAAGTAAAATTAGAGGAATCTTTTAGTATTTTTAACAGCTGGCTTTCAATTTGAAGTTTATAAAATTCACTTTTTAGGGTTTATCTAAAAAATTGTGATGTTAATTCTCTAATCCAGTAAACAGTACCTGGATACTCACAGCCAGTGTTAACTCTATTGTAGGTCTAAATATACCAAAGCTAATCTTAGTTTCACTAAGTTTCCTTCACACTATAAAATTGGAATGAAAATTTTTGTTGTATTAACTTAAAATTCATTACTGCAGGATGTGCATGTGTAATTCATCATTGTTATTTTTGTTTTTCAGGATGGATTCTTCGCTTTGTTCTGGGCCCAAGCTTGATGTCCTCAAATGTGCGTTTATTTTGCAACCACCCAGATAACCAAAGTACGCAATACGAAAGGGCCAAGTACTATGAAGTCCAGTGGAAGACAGCAACTGGGATCAAAAGTGACAGGACAGACCTGACTGCTGAGGTGAAGATAGTGCTCGCTGGATCCTTCAACTATTTCTTCACTTTGAACAATTCGTAAGTATCTGCACTTTTTTAGCACTCAGTTCTTTAATCTTCCTTAGAGAAGAGTCGTCCTTTGAACATAAGCATAAGGACTAAGCCTTACTAGAGTCTGTGTGGCTATTGAATGCTTCACTATTCTACTTTTTCACAGCATATGTCTGAGTTTACTTCTAGTTGCTTGTCTTGAAACCATATTAAGTTAATTGGCTGACCTGGCTATTTCAGCACTGATGTCAAACAGTGTAACGGCTCCGGCTACTTTTTAGTGGACCCCACACTGCACCTGGGTCCCAATAATGAGGAGGTACCCATGGACTCTGTGATATGTCAAAGTGTCATCACTAAACTGCTTGGGCCATTCCAAGATTGGTTACCTAGGTTACAGGTAAACAAACTTATTTTATTCTATATTCAGTTTTAATTTTTTTTTTTGCTTTAGATATATTCAGCCATTTTTTGCTATCCTCAGGTAGCCTATGAGAGGGCTATATGATACCTTTACTCCACAGGTAGCCTATGAGAGTGGCTACATGATACCTTTACTCCACAGATAGCCTATGAGAGTGGCTACATGATACCTTTACTCCACAGGTAGCCTATGAGAGTGGCTACAACATGATCCACTTCACGCCCATCCATGAGCTGGGCATCTCTAACTCAGCCTACTCCATCAGGGACCAGCTGCGGCTGAGTCCAGTCTACAGCAAGGGCTCAAGTAAACAATATGACCTGACCGATGTGGAGAAGCTGACCACATACATGAACCAAAACTGGTCGGTAAGTTGATCTGTGGGGGTTACTTTTTAAATCAACACATTGAAATAAATTTGTGTATATGTGTGTATATTGCTGTGTGTGTCGCATTCGGGCAAGTGTCCATTCTGGCATTTGTCGCATTCGGGCATTTGTCGCATTCGGGCAAGTGTCCATTCGGGCATTTGTCGCATTCGGGCAAGTGTTCATTCGGGAATTCGGGCAAATGGCATTCGGGCAAGTGTCTTTCGGGAATTTGTCGTAGACCCATGACTGTATTGTCAGGTGTATGACTGTATTGTCAGGTGCATGACTGTATTGTCAGGTGTATGACTGTATTGTCAGGTGTATTACTGTATTATCAGGTGTCTGACTGTATTGTCAGGTGTATGACTGTATTGTCAGGTGCATGACTGTATTGTCAGGTGCATGACTGTATTGTCAGATGTCTGACTGTATTGTCAGATGTATGTATTGTCAGGTGTATGACTGTATTGTCAGGTGTATGACGGTATTGTCAGGTGTCTGACTGTATTGTCAGATGTATGTATTGTCAGGTGTATGACTGTATTGTCAGATGTATGTATTGTCAGGTGTATGACTGTATTGTCAGGTGTATGACTGTATTGTCAGATGACTGTATTATCAGATGTATGTATTGTCAGATGTATGTATTGTCAGGTGTATGACTGTATTGTCAGGTGTCTGAAAGTATTGTCAGGCGTATGACTGTATTGTCAGATGTATGTATTGTCAGGTGTGTGACTGTATTGTCAGGTGTATGACTGTATTGTCAGGTGTATGACTGTATTGTCAGATGTATGTATTGTCAGGTGTCTGACTGTATTGTCAGGTGTATTGTCAGGTGTCTGACTATATTTGCAGGTGATGAGCTTGTCTGACCTGGTGTACAACCACACAGCCAAAGACAGCCCCTGGCTGTGGCAACACCCTGAGTGCTCCTTCAACCTCAAGAACTCCCCTCACCTGCGACCTGCCTACATTGTGGACAGGATCTTTGAGCATTTCAGCCTGGAGGTCAGCAAAGGTCAGTGGGAGGGTCACGGCATCCCCAGGACAGTCAACTCGGAGGATCATCTCAATGTATGTCTTTCTCTGGTCTAAAGCTTAGAGTAAGTCTAGCACCAGTGATACCATTATGTGCCTGCTACACATAGTCTGACCCTGAATTTTTTTTATCTTCCAGGCAATAGCTCATGCACTTCACCATCATGTCTTTCACAACTATAGAATTCATGAATTTTTTTGTATTGGAGTGGATCAAGTTATCAAGGACTTCAAAAAGGCCATAGAAGGTAAACCATGTTGTTGGGTCAAAAACCACTTTGTTGTTGTATTGGCTGACATCATTATTAGACTTGGACCAACTTTTTATTTGGATTATTAGAATATTTACTTGGATCTACTTGACGTTAATTATTTAGTGTTGATTACTGGTTGAGAAGTTTTAAAAAATGTTAGAGTATTAAATTTATCTTTATGTAAGTATGACGATTATCTTTATTGCCAAATTACTGTAATAATTTATAATATAGCAATATATATTGTTTATTTGATTATTGTGACAGTGATCATATTTTTTTAACTTACTGTCAAATATTCTGTTTATATGTTAATTTTTTTCAAATAATAGAAAATGTGTATGTTCAATTTGTAACAAATTTTTTAAAATTGAAATCAAGTGGTTATACAACACTAAAAACATCAAGCGCAAACACTAAAAACATCAAGCGCAAGTTTTGACATGATAATACCTAGCTTAGTTCACTTAGTGAACAATGTGAACTCTTCTTCTTTAGGAAACCCAAATGGTGGTGATAACCTAAAAGACAACCACTTGACCATCATCCAGGACCCTGAGTACAGAAGGTTCAAGTCCACTGTCAACATCAACCTGGCTCTAAAGCTGTACAACACAGACAGGTGAGTTGACCAGTGTCCAGCCTGGTTTTGGCCTAGCTGGCTACTACTGGTGTTGTACAAGTCTTGACTGTCTAGATGTGAGACATTTGTTAATGCTTACATTAATGTGTTTAGGATTGAGTAGTTTTTGACATTACTCTTTTAAAAAGGGAATTATATAAATAGGACAAGAGGTGGGGCACTTTTTTTTGCATGATTAACTTCTTAATGACCGGTACATTTTGATTCTTTTAGACTGGTCACTTTATGCAAAGGTTAGCTGCGTTTATTGAATTATTGAATAAAATTTCAGCTACGTTTAAATAACTTTTGTATGGTTTCTTCTTTCTATTTTGTCTGTATGAACTGTACAGATGCTTATTAGAAACAGTTTTTCTGCTAGGACTACATAGTCCGACAATGCAGTTTTTTGGGGTTATAGGATTAAGGAGATTAAATTACCATACCATAAAAGTAACAAAATTAAGTTTTCCACTCTAGATGTTAACTAACAAATTACAAATAACAATTTGAAAATTTCTGATCTGCTGTTAATTTTTCTCTGACCATACTCTTATTCATGTAAGAGTTGTATCTCTTCCTTGTATAAGAGTTGTATCTTCCATGCCAACAGTCTGTTGCTGATCAAATTTGTAATCAATCATACTTTATAATTAATTATTTGTTGTAATCAGTTATACTTAGTAATCAACCATTTGTTGTAATTAACCATTTGTTGTATTCTGTAGCTGTTTGAGTTCTGATCATGCTCCCCATACACTTTATGACAGTGGGTTCTGATTCAAGTGTAGACTTATAAAAGTCTGGTGTTATTTTGTTATCTGGTAAAGAACAACATTGGCATAACTGATGAGGTTGATAGAAGCCTTGTATCCAACATGTCATGACTGATGAGGTTGATGGAAGCCTTGTATCCAACATGTCATGACTGATGAGGTTGATGGAAGCCTTGTATCCAGCATGTCATGACTGATGAGGTTGATGGAAGCCTTGTATCCAGCATGTCATGACTGATGAGGTTGATGGAAGCCTTGTATCCAACATGTCATGACTGATGAGGTTGATGGAAGCCTTGTATCCAGCATTACCAAGACATTTTTGTGAACTCCATAACCTTTTGCTACATAGTCTTCTTTTCATGTTATTTATAAAACATTTTAGTTATAATTTTCCAATGATCTAGATTTAATCTTACTGAATATCTGACTTGTACATTTTTAAAGTGAAGTTTTAAGTTGATGCTAAGTATATTTAAAAGTATAAAATCTTATCATAAATTAATAGAACACCTGATGATCCATTTCTAAATAATTTTCAGCCGTCATGCGGATATGGGGTAAACTTTAGTGCTGTAGTTCTTCTTTAGTTTTTGTTTTTTTCCATGTGGATGCTTGATGTTTAGAACTGGATGAAATCCTGTTTGCATTTAGCACTTCATGCTTTTCATGACACTCTAATATTAGATTTATACTTTGATTTGTTGCTTTTTATGTTATCTTTTAAAAAAAATTTTTTAAAGAAATATATTTGCTTTTGAAATTATATTTTATGTTAATTTGCATTAGATAATTAACTTAAAAAAGTAAAAGAACTTTTACCTTTAATTGCCTCAAGAAAGACAAATAGTGTTTAATGTGGTAAAAATATAAAGTACATCTCTTAATGTTTCTGATTGTTACTTCTCTTTTTCTATGGTTATTTTTTTTATTTTAATTTTTATATTTGTAAGCTTTAAACATATTTGAAAATATTCTGGAGAAGAATGTAGAGGGACGAACTAATATAATAATTGGTTCTGGCAAGCATACTTATATTTTTATACATGTATAACTTACCTAATTTTTAACATTTTTTTTACACATATTCGCAGCTTTTAAATCTATAGCTTTATATGTTACTAGCCGTCCCGGCCAGGCCCTGCTCTGGCTTCTGTGAAAAACTTTTCTGTTAAAGACCATTACCTGTGTGTTTAGTAATCATCATAAACCCGGCATTGCCCAACCAAACCACAACCAACCAAAACCAAAACAACAAAACGCAAACATAACGCTAACACAATTACAAATACAAACGAAAACAAAAACTTACAACAAACCAACCACAACCACAAACACCAATACGAACATAAAGAAAAAAGCAAACGAAAACAAACCAAATCCAAACACAAAACCAACCACAAACACAAACCCAAAGAAAAAAACAAACGAAAAAGCAAACGAAAACAAACCAAATACAAACGCAAAACCAACCACAAACCCAAAGAAAAAAAAAACACAAAAGAAAAACAAACGAAAACAAACCAAATCCAAACGCAAAACCAACCTCAAACACAAATACAAACACAAACCCAATGAAAATAAAACACAAACGAAAACGAAAAAAGAAAGAACAAAAACGAACCAAATCAAAACGCAACCACTAACGCAAACCCAACCTAAACACAAAGAAAACACTAACGCGAATATAAACGCAAAGTGCTCACGGGGCTGAATCGCCTACTTCAACTTAATAAACGACTATAGTACCCCAACTTATTCATAGTCTTTTGCACTCACTTTAATGAACGTAGGCGCGAAACCGAACACGGGAGGCCCGGGACCCCAAAAAGCACCCTGTCTGGGCGCCAGAGGACGCACCATGACGTCACCGCCTGATTGAACTTAGTAAACGCCTATAGTGCATAACTTATTTATAGTCTTTTGAACTCACGCGAACGTAGATACCATAGCGTACACCGGAAGGCCCGGGGCGCCAAATAGCACCCTGTCGGGGTGCCGGAGGACGCCCGGATTTGATTCACTTAAAGACTATAGTAACCTTTCTTATCCATAGTCTATCGCACTGTTTAAAACAAAATTATGCAGCATAGCGCCCACATGATAGCCCAGGGTGCCAAATCAAACCGTGCAGGGGCGCCGGCGGACGCGCCTGTTTCAATTTAGTGAACAAAAATGATAATACTCCAAGCTTATCCGTAAATGGAAAGAAATAAACATATTGGATTTGTAGGACCTGGCTTATTAAATGTTATTGATTTAAAAAAAAAAAAATTATTGAACAGTATGTTCAGTGTATAGAATAAATAAAAGGCAGTGTTAAAAATACCTAACGACATTGCACTTAATCAATCCCCGCTAATTATGTAATTTTTTTTTTTCTTAACACCAAAAACAAAGTAATAAAATGTAAATTCTTTCTTCTTAAGAATTTTTTTTATTAAAGGGAAGTAACTGTGCAGTCAATACATTTCCGACACAATTTTAGAAATTTTATAAACGTCGATACACTTTTTAAAAATTTTATGTCGCGTTCATAATTGAAAATTATTCTTCTAAGTAAATAGAATGAAAATTGTTTTTAAAGACTTTCAGTGGTAATTTTTTGACTCGTAAATTTAGACTTTGAGCACGATAAAAAATCTAACACTTAAATCCGTAGAAGTGTCAACGACAAACTTTTTTGTTTTTTGCCACACGTTACAGAACTGAGCTTTATATATTAGATCTTTAATCTAAGTATACATTTTGTTAATTTCTGGTTACTTTGTGGGGATAAGTATATTTAGTTTTAGTGACTAAAACATAATTTTCTATCCCTCTGTATAATCTTGCACCCATTAACTTCATCAATGAGATTTTAGACTAGTCTGGGCATGTTAAGCTACCTTTGATGTAGTGAGGGTCTTTTGACTGCTGTAATGGTTCTGTGTTTTTAGCCTGGCTAGCTGATGCAGTTCTTTAGATCACCCTTCCTATTTAGTATGCACCAGAACTTGATCACCTTAGTTATTTACTTATGAAAAACATCAGCATTAAAATTCTAGTTCCCTGTATGTTAACACTAAGATGTATCAAAGGTTAGGATTTTAAAAGCAGTAAGTCTGAAAGTCTGGAATAAATGTTGGTGAGGTTTTGATTTGCTGCTTGTTCCAGGCCTGGGGTGTTCTCTAGGGAGGACAGGATCAGGAAATGCTGCGAGGCTCTGATGGAGGAACTGGTCCGTCTGAATGGCAACAAGGAGAGGGAGACCCAGGACCACATCAACTGTGCTATTGGCAACTTCATAGCTAATGCTAGGTGGCGCTTTGTCACAGAGCATGGGCCCAGAATTGCTGAGGTTACAGAGGAGGAACCACTCATGAATGGGTGGGTGTCTTTGTCTTGTTGGGGGTGGGTGTCTTCATGTCTTATTGGGGGTGGGTGTCTTTATGTCTTAATGTGGTGGGTGCATGTCTTGTTGGGGGGTGGGTGTCTTCATGTCTTGTTGGGGGGTGGGTGTCTTCATGTCTTGTTGGGGGTGGGTGTCTTTATGTCTTAATGGGGTGGATGTCTTCATGTCTTATTGGTGGTGGGTGCATGTCTTGTTGGGGGGTGGGTGTCTTCGTGTCTTGTTGGGGGTGGGTGTCTTCATGTCTTATTGGGGTTGGGTGTCTTCATGTCTTATTGGGAGTAGGTTTTTTCATACACAGATATGTAATGTCTTATTGTAGGTGAGTATTTTGATGTCGTTTGGACTGGATGGATTTAATTGTTTTTTTTTTCTATGAAATGTAGATACTTTATCATACCCAAAGCCCATGAGGGAAGTGTTGAAAAGGAAGAAAAACTATCTTACGAAGAGCCCCAGAATATCATGGCATGCAATGGATGGGTTATGGGGGATGATCCTCTCAAAAACTTTGCAGATCCAGGTTAGTAATAAGTACAAATCCTTGTTGCCCAAATCTTTGAATGTTGGGGTTAAAATGTGTAGGTATAGGTTTTAGTGTTGGCACTTGTTGTTAAGGTTTCCCTTTTAATTGTAATGTAGGCATAGTGTGCAGACACCTTGTAGTGAAGTGCAATGACCTTCCTCTCTTCTCCTGTACAGGTAGAACTGTGTACCTGCGGAGGGAGCTGGTTGGTTGGGGGGACAGTGTCAAGCTGAACTACGGCAAGACCCCCAGTGACTGCCCCTTCCTGTGGCAGAGAATGGAGGAGTACACACGTCAGTCTGCCAAATTGTTCCAAGGTCTAAGGCTCGACAACTGTCACAGTACACCAATTCATGTTGCGGAGGTTAGTCATCCCATTTTACTGGGACCATTTTTTGTTTGTCATCCCATTTTACTGGGACCATTTGTTTGTCATCCCATTTTACTGGGACCATTTTTTGTTTGTCATCCCATTTTACTGGGACCATTTGTTTGTCATCCCATTTTCCTGGGACCATTTGTTTGTCATCACATTTTACTGGGACCATTTGTTTGTCATCCCATTTTAATGGGACCATTTGTTTGTCATCCCATTTTTACTGGGACCATTTGTTTGTCATCCCATTTTTACTGGGACCATTTGTTTGTCATCCCATTTGTTAAGTCTTTTCAAACAAAAACTAAGCCAAATGAAAAATTAAATTAGAATCTAATAAACAACTTAATCTGTTGTTGCAGTAGAAGGGGTGAGGGGTTATTTGTGATTGCTTCTCTACCTTTATTGACTTCATAGATCATGTGGGTTGTCTAGTATACAAATAAACATTTTAGTGAGTAATTTGTGTGTTGATAAAAAACCATTAACTGCCATTTTGTTGAGAATATTGAAATTGTTGTTTTAAGCTGTGTCACTATCATTACTAAACTGTTGACTGATATGTTTCTATTCAATTTTTGACTGATGTGTCCCTATCATTACTAAACTTTTGACTGATGTGTCTCTATGACATAAACTTTTGACTGATGTGTCTCTATGACATAAACTTTTGACTGATGTGTCTCTATGACATAGACTGATGTGTCCCTATTAAACTTTTGACTGATGTGTCCCTATGACATAAACTTTTGACTGATGTGTCCCTATTCAGTTTTTGACTGATGTGTCCCTATGACATAAACTTTTGACTGATGTGTCCCTATTCAACTTTTGACTGATGTGTCCCTATGACATAAACTTTTGACTGATGTGTCCCTATGACATAAACTTTTGACTGATGTGTCCCTATGACATAAACTTTTGACTGATGTGTCCCTATGACATAAACTTTTGACTGATGTGTCCCTATGACATAAACTTTTGACTGATGTGTCCCTATGACATAAACTTTTGACTGATGTGTCCCTATTCAGTTTTTGACTGATGTGTCCCTATGACATAAACTTTTGACTGATGTGTCCCTATTCAACTTTTGACTGATGTGTCCCTATGACAAACTTTTGACTGATGTGTCCCTATGACATAAACTTTTGACTGATGTGTCCCCAGCACATGCTGGATGTTGCGCGACGTGTCAGACCTGACCTGTATGTCATTGCTGAACTCTTCACTGGCAGTGAACATCTGGACAACCTGTTCATGAACAGACTGGGGATCAATTCTCTCATCAGAGGTCAGACCAACCAATTATCTCAGTTCAGTTTACGCAAGCTTAGCTATGCTATCAGACAAGATATTCATTTTCTCATTCCGTGTTTGACAAAAATACAACCCAATTATTACTGCATTGAAATTAGATGTTATCAAGACTTTAAATGAAGTCATTGATCTTAAACATATGTGCCTATTGTAATTGGATGCATTTTAAACTTTTATAATTTGTTTTTCATACTTTATTTTGTAGAAAAGATTATATGATGTTCACTAATCTTACTGTGATGTATGGTGTGATTTTATACTTAGTTTGTTCACTAATGTAAACCTATAGTTCTGTTGTTCTACAAATATTGTTTACCAATCTAACTCTATGGAGGTTGTGATGTTATGTTTACCAGGGGGGGGGGGGGGGGGGGCGGGGCTGGTGGGCCATGACTCCCAGATTGTAATGTTTGTTTGTTTATTTACCAGAGGCGCTGGTTGCTTAAGACTCTCATGTTGTAACGTTATGTTTGTTTGTTTACCAGAGGCGCTGGTGGCCCATGACTCCCATGTTGTAATGTTTGTTTGTTTACCAGAGGTGCTGGTGGCCCATGACTCCCATGTTGTAACGTTATGTTTGTTTGTTTACCAGAGGCGCTGGTGGCCCATGACTCCCATGTTGTAATGTTTGTTTGTTTACCAGAGGCGCTGGTGGCCCATGACTCCCATGTTGTTATGTTATGTTTGTTTACCAGAGGCGCTGGTGGCCCATGACTCCCATGTTGTTATGTTATGTTTGTTTACCAGAGGCGCTGGTGGCCCATGACTCCCATGTTGTTATGTTATGTTTGTTTACCAGAGGCGCTGGTGGCCCATGACTCCCATGTTGTAATGTTTGTTTGTTTACCAGAGGCGCTGGTGGCCCATGACTCCCATGTTGTTATGTTTGTTTGTTTGTTTACCAGAGGCGCTGGTGGCCCATGACTCCCACGACCAGGGTAGACTGGTCCACAGATTTGGTGGTGACCCAGTTGGGGCCTTCATCCAGCCTCGTGTCCGACCCCTGGTGCCATGTATGGCACACGCCCTGTTCTATGACCAGACCCATGACAACGAGTGTCCCATAGAGAAGAGGTCGGCCTGGGACATCTGGCCAACAGCGGCCATGGTGGCCATTGCTAACTGTGCTATAGGAAGCAACAGGGGCTATGACCAGATGGTGCCCATACATGTAAGGAGAAATTTGGTTATTTTACATTTTTATTATTAACTTATGTGGTCACAGAAAAAAACATTTTGTTGCAGAAAAAATGTGTTGAAAAAGAAACCACTTTGTCAAAGATAAATATGGTCACAAAAACCAGTTTAAGTTAAACAAGAGAAAAACCCATCTTGTTGCAGATAAATGTGGTGAAAGAAAAACGTCTGTACACTTCATGGACAGACAAAGACAGTCCTGACCGTCCCTGGATCAATCAAACCTTTGGTATCACAGCTGGCAAGAGAGCTTTGAACAAACTGCACTACAAGCTGGCCAGAGAAGGGTATTCACAGGTACATTTTCTTACAGCAGTTTTAGTAGGCCTGGGCAGTTGGTCCTACAACTGACCAGTCTTATTAGACCTGACCAGTTACTAAATGAGAAGATTGACACTGAGGTGAGGTGATCCACTGAGGTGAGATGAGCCACTGAGGTGAGATGAGCCACTGAGGTGAGATGAGCCACTGAGGTGAGATGAGCCACTGAGGTGAGATGAGCCACTGAGGTGAGGTGAGCCACTGAGGTGAGATGAGCCACTGCGGTGAGATGAGCCACTGAGGTGAGATGAGCCACTGAGGTGAGATGAGCCACTGAGGTGGGATGAGCCACTGAGGTGAGATGAGCCACTGAGGTGAGATGAGCCACTGAGGTGAGATGAGCCACTGAGGTGAGATGAGCCACTGAGGTGAGATGAGCCACTGAGGTGAGATGAGCCACTGAGGTGAGATGAGCCACTGAGGTGAGATGAGCCACTGAGGTGAGATGAGCCACTGAGGTGAGGTGAGCCACTGAGGTGAGGTGAGCCACTGAGGTGAGGTGAGCCACTGAGTTGAGATGAGCCACTGAGGTGAGATGAGCCCCTGAGCTAAGGTGTGCACTCTCTGCTGCAGGTGTATGTTGACCAGGTGGACGGCAACACAGTTTCCATTACCAGACACAGACCCCAGACACACGACTCGGTCGTCTTGATTGCTAGGACTGCCTTCCAACAGCCGTGGAACCCATCAGATCAGGGCTTTATAAGACCCATAACAATACAGGGTAGGTCCTTGTCATGCTTTATAAGACCAAAACAATACATGGTAGGTCCTTGTCATGCTTTATAAGACCCATAACAATACAGGGTAGGTCCTTGTCATGCTTTATAAGACCCATAACAATACAGGGTAGGTCCTTGTCATGCTTTATAAGACCCATAACAATACAGGGTAGGTCCTTGTCATGCTTTATAAGACCCATAACAATACAGGGTAGGTCCTTGTCATGCTTTATAAGACCCATAACAATACAGGGTAGGTCCTTGTCATGCTTTATAAGACCCATAACAATTCAGGGTAGGTCCGTGTCATGCTTTATAAGACCCATAATAATAGAGATTAGTTCCTTGTTGTCGTAGGATTAGGTCATTTTGTACTAGTCATTCTATATTAAAAGACTGAGTATAAGCTTGTGATGGTCAGTCCCAGCATTTGTTTTAGGGTAGTGTATTTTCTATTTGAGTGGACGCTGTGCCATTAGTCTATAAATTTAGCTTGTTTTTAATGGAGATTTTTTTAATATAAAGAAGAGCTTTTCATCTTTATAGATTATTTGTTGTATTCATCATTCCATTCCCCCTCGTGATCTACTAATCACACATGGCTTACGCATTAACTGTGTGTTAAGGATTAAACAATAAAATTCCTGCTTGTATTTTCCTCCATCAGGAAAAATTGAAGAAATTGTGCTTGAAGGTAGAATGCAACATGCCAACCAGTTTAGCTACAAAAAGGACAGTGACTACATTAATGGCTTGCCTGACTTCTACCTGCCACTGAGAGAGCACTTTCCTGTCCACGAAAGTCAAATCATATCTGTGAGGACTTTTGATGACGGGCAGACCAATGAAATTTCTTTTAAGAATCTCACCCCTGGCAGTGTTGTAGTATTGAAGTGAGTTTCACATGTCTGAATTTTATGTGTTACCTCTCACTGTTCTGTGTCACCAGTTCAGTGTTCTGTGTCACCAGTTCAGTGTTCTGTGTCACCAGTTATGTGTTAACCTGTCTTATTGTTCTGTCACCTGTCTCAATGTTCTGTGTCACCATCACTAGTTCAGTGTTGTGTGTCAACACCACTAGTTCAGTGTTCTGTGTCACCATCACTAGTTCAGTGTTCTGTCTCACCTGTCTCAGTGTTCTGTCCTTAAATTGTTTCACTTGCCTTTTGTTTCTTGTCACTAGTTTTCTGCTTGTTCAGTGTTTCTCTCTCCAGCTCTGTGTTGCACTAACTTGTTAATTGTGCTCTTTACTTCTTTAGTGTATAAGAATTCTACATATTTGAGATCATATAAAGATTTGTGTCTTAAGATGTGTTCCTTCTACACTATGATTTTTACACAAATGATTTTTTGACCAGTTCCCTCCTGTCCAATGATTTCTTTTGCTATGTACACAAACTCTTAGAGTTAATAGAAATCTAGTATTTTTGTTTGGAACTATTAGTAATGCCATCTGAAGCATTGTTTATGTGGAATTTAATAAGGGGATATAAAATGTCTTATGTGAATGAACATGAACAGCTAGCCTTGATTGCAATACAATGTCTCAATGTCTGACTATCAGGATTATTTGTGTGTCTAGTCACTGTTTAGTGCTTTTGATGCCACTAGATCTTGTACCATACAAAATTCTCTTGCCTTAACAGATGCACACTAACTGAGCATGCCAAAGGAGCTATACTAGAGATCCGGAGAGGACTGGGCCAGTTTGGCTACATGATGAGGTCCTACAGTGGCAACACCATGTTTGATGAGAAGTTTGACTCGTCCAACTTCCGCGTCATTGTGTCCAAGCTCTCCCTAGCTGACCTTAATCGATGCCTGTTCAGGATTGACCAGGAGGAAAAGGATGACTGTTATGGTTTCGGGGCTTATGGAATCCCAAACAGAGGAGCAATGGTTTATTGTGGACTTAGAGGTGAGTTCCCAAGGGAGCAATGGTTTATTGTGGACTTAGAGGTGAGTCGTAGGTCCTGGAAACAAGTTCCCAAACAGAGGAGCAATGGTTTATTGTGGACTTAGAGGTGAGTCGTAGGTCCTGGAAACAAGTTCCCAAACAGAGGAGCAATGGTTTATTGTGGACTTAGAGGTGAGTGTAAGTTCCTGGAAACAAGTTCCCAAACAGAGGAGCATTGAAAGATGAGGGGATGGCATGGCTGAGTGGTAGAGCACTTGACTGTAAGCCAGAAGGTCTCGAGGTTGGATCTCAGTTCGGACATATGGCTGTAGGCTGTCGATGTGACCACCAAACTCTAATGGGTATCTGAGTTAAGTAAGCGTAAGTAAGGCTGATCACACCATCCCTTCAGTCAAGAAACATGAACACTACTTTATCTGCCGTATGAATCGTTAAGTCAGAAAAGGGAACTTATCCTTACTATTTATAATGAAGCTGCCAGACCCTAGAAATAAAAGTTCCTGTAAATATCAGACAGGTGATGATGGTACTGGAATAGGCTACAGCCTACAAATGTCTTTTAAAACATTTGACAGGTATAACCTCCCAATTGAAAGAAATCCGTCCAGTTAATGACCTTGGACATCCACTATGTGGAAACTTGCGAGATGGCAACTGGTTGCCTGATTACATAGCCAACAGGATGAAACCCCATCAAAATCTACAGCAGGTAATGTCTTTAGCCATACCACTTCTCACAGTCCTCTCAGCTTTGATGGGTACCTGGCATGTTTTGGTAGTACCACATCACAGTTGACTCAGCTTTGATGGGTACCTGGCATGTTTTGGTAGTACCACATCTCAGTTGACTCAGCTTTGATGGGTACCTGGCATGTTTTGGTAGTACCACATCTCAGTTGACTCAGCTTTGATGGGTACCTGACATGTTTTGGTAGTATCACATCACACTTGACTCAGCTTTAATGGGTACCTGGCATGTTTTGGTAGTATCACATCACACTTGACTCAGCTTTAATGGGTACCTGGCATGTTTTGGTTGTACCACATCACACTTGACTCAGCTTTGATGGGTACCTGACTCACATCAAGTTACACAAATGGCCACACTATCCCCTTATATCCTGAAGTCATTGAAACAGAACACCTACTTCATCTACCGCATGTGTCTTGGGCACACATTGGAAAAGATGATGGTTGTTTTTAGCAGGCTAACTGCTGCAAAACTGTTTATTATGAATTGTTATACCTGGTTGGAAAATATCTTAATATTATTGACTGTTTACTCTACTTGTTAGCTGGCTACCTGGTGTGAAAACATTTTGTTATTATTGACTGTTTCTTCTACTTGTGTAGCTGGCTACTTGGTTTGAAAACATCTTCACACCTTTGAAACTAATGCCACGTTTTCTGGTTCCCTGCTATTTTGATGCCATTGTGACTGGCGCTGATATTATATTGACTGAAGCTGCTCATGAATTGATGTCAGAGTAAGTTTATCTTTAAACTTTATTAATCTTTGACTTTATAACCTTTGAGATGTGTATCACTAACCTTAACTACATAGATATTTTGTTCACTGATTCAAAACCCCAATGAGATCTTGGTCTCTTACTTAAACCCCATAGATATTTTGTTCACTGACTAAAAACCCATAGAGTAGTTGGTTACTAATGTTTAAAATTTTTCAGATGTAGTTAAATTATTGACAAAAAATGAAATTTTGTTTCCCTAGTTTTGTGAAAGACAGCTCCAATTTTGTGAAAACCCTGAGCATGACATCACTTCAAGTTGTCGGCTACACCTGTCAGGCCAGACTTCCTTTCTTGTCTCCAAAACTGTCTCCTCGTCCCAGAGAGGAGTTCAACAACCACAGCAAGAAGTTGGAGGAGGCTTGTCTTTCCATGTCTGCTGGTAGGCTTGTCTTTCCATGTCTGCTGGTAGGCTTGTCTTTCCATGTCTGCTGGTAGGCTTGTCTTTCCATGTCTGCTGGTAGGCTTGTCTTTCCATGTCTGCTGGTAGGCTTGTCTTTCCATGTCTGCTGGTAGGCTTGTCTTTCCATGTCTGCTGGTAGGCTTGTCTTTCCATGTCTGCTGGTAGGCTTGTCTTTCCATGTCTGCTGGTAGGCTTGTCTTTCCATGTCTGCTGGTAGGCTTGTCTTTCCAAGTCTGCTGGTAGGCTTGTCTTTCCATGTCTGCTGGTAGGCTTGTCTTTCCATGTCTGCTGGTAGGCTTGTCTTTCCAAGTCTGCTGGTAGGCTTGTCTTTCCATGTCTGCTGGTAGGCTTTGCTTTCACCCCTAGTGCAGTAGAACTAGCTGTCTGCCTTACTGCCTAGCTAATATTACAGCCTCCTATTCCTAGTTAAACCGATTCATCAGTTGAACTAAACCTAGTTACTTTTTCAGGTTTTCCCCACTTTGGTGCAGGCTACATGAGAAACTGGGGGAGAGACACATTCATCTCCCTGCGTGGGCTACTTCTGATCACAGGGAGACATGAGGAGGCCAGGTGAGTAGGTTTTGTGTCAGGTCACATGTGGGTGGGGGAGAGACATTCATCTCCCTGCGTGGTCTTCTTCTGATCACAGGGAGACATGAGGAGGCCAGGTGAGTAGGTTTTGTGTCAGGTCACATGTGGGGGGGGGGGGGGGAGACATTCATCTCCCTGCGTGGTCTTCTTCTGATCACAGGGAGACATGAGGAGGCCAGGTGAGTAGGTTTTGTGTCAGGTCACATGTGGGGGGGGGGGGAGACATTCATCTCCCTGCGTGGGCTTCTTCTGATCACAGGGAGACATGAGGAGGCCAGGTGAGTAGGTTTTGTGTCAGGTCACATGTGGGGGAGAGACACATTCATCTCCCTGCGTGGGCTTCTTCTGATCACAGGGAGACATGAGGAGGCCAGGTGAGTAGGTTTTGTGTCAGGCCACATGTGGGGGGGGGGGGGGGGGGAGCAATACACCTTGATCTCACCCTACATGTGTTTCTCAACCATGGTTACCCACCCCATATGATATAAAAATTAGTGTGTAAAGTTTGCTTCTTCCAATTTTTTAAATCCCCTTTTGGAATTGACTTAACCATTAATTATTGATTAGTAAACATAAAGTTAAAAATAAATACCATTTTAAAGTCATTATAAGTAGTAATATTATGTAATGGCTGTAAGAAACGATCTACCATTGGACTATCTCTGCAGGCACATCATACTGGGTTATGGTGGCACACTGCGTCATGGGCTGATTCCTAATTTGCTGAATGAGGGGACGGGGTCCAGGTACAACGCCAGAGATGCTGTCTGGTTCTGGTTGACTGCCATCAGGAACTACTGTCTGGAGGTCAAGGATGGATACAACATCCTCAATGATCCGGTCAGTCGGATGTACCCAACTGATGACTCCCCACCCCAGCCTCCAGGCTCACATGTAAGTTGGTTGTATGGGGTAGGGTTAGTAGGTTGTATGGGGTTAGGCTTAGTAGGTTGTATGGGGCTAGTAGGTTGTATGGGGTTAGGGTTAGTAGGTTGTATGGGGCTAGTAGGTTGTATGGGGTTAGGGTTAGTAGGTTGTATGGGGCTAGTAGGTTGTATGGGGTTAGGGTTAGGTTGTATGGGGTTAGGGTTAGTAGGTTGTATGGGGTTAGGGTTAGTAGGTTGTATGGGGTTAGGGTTAGTAGGTTGTATGGGGCTAGGGTTAGTAGGTTGTATGGGGCTAGGCTTAGTAGGTTGTATGGGTTTAGGTTTGGTAGGTTGTATGGGGTTAGAGTAGGTTGTATGGGGTTAGAGTAGGTTGTATGGGGTTAGAGTAGGTTGTATGGGATTAGAGTAGGTTGTATGGGGTTAGGGTTAGTAGGTTGTATGGGGCTAGGCTTAGTAGGTTGTATGGGTTTAGGTTTGGTAGGTTGTATGGGGTTAGAGTAGGTTGTATGGGGTTAGAGTAGGTTGTATGGGGTTAGAGTAGGTTGTATGGGGTTAGAGTAGGTTGTATGGGATTAGAGTAGGTTGTATGGGGTTAGGGTTAGTAGGTTGTATGGGATTAGAGTAGGTTGTATGGGGTTAGAGTAGGTTGTATGGGGTTAGAGTAGGTTGTATGGGGTTAGAGTAGGTTGTATGGGGTTAGGGTTAGTAGGTTGTATGGGATTAGAGTAGGTTGTATGGGGTTAGAGTAGGTTGTATGGGGTTAGAGTAGGTTGTATGGGGTTAGAGTAGGTTGTATGGGATTAGAGTAGGTTGTATGGGGTTAGGCTTAGATTATGTAGTCTGCTCATTGTCAGCTGATTTGTTTTGCCAGGACCAAAAGCTGTGTGATGTGATGCAGGAAGCTTTGACCAGACACGCTGAGGGTGTCAAGTTTAGAGAGAGGAATGCTGGATACCAGATAGATGACCAGATGACAGATGAAGGTACTGCAACAATCAGATAGATAGGGTTAGATTAGACTGGAATGACATGTTAGATTGTTACATGTGTTGTTAAACTGTTACATGTGCTGTTAAACTGTTACATGTGTTGTTAAATTGTTACATGTGCTGTTAGATTGTTACATGTGTTGTTAAATTGTTAGATGTGCTGTGACTGATGTTGTGTTTCAGGATTCAACAATGAGGTAGGCGTGGACTGGCAGACAGGGTTTGTGTTTGGTGGCAATGAACACAACTGTGGTACATGGATGGACAAGATGGGCAGCTCAGCTAGAGCAGGGAACAAAGGGAAGCCATCCACACCCAGGTACACACTTGTGTACTCTAGCAGGGGAGATCACTTTATTTTAATAGTGGTGTTTGAAATTATTAAAATAGGGTAATTGTTGTAGAAAAAGTTGGTGATGTAAAACTAAGGGTTCACGTTGAAGAACTGATGGTTCATGTAGTAGTTGATGTTGTATGTTTCAGAGATGGGTCTGCTGTAGAGCTGGTTGGAATGTGCGCTGGTGTTGTCAAGTTTCTCTCTGAGGCTAAAAAGAGCAACCTGTACCCATATGATGGTGTGGAGCCCCTACTCAATGGTATGGTCTCAACTTTGACCCTTTATACCAGGCTTTGTAGCTCTCTAATGTAACCATATCCACTATTGAACTAAATGTAGAATAATTTAACATACCCTATACTATTTAATTAAGAATTCAACATTGATTGGATATATATATATATATATATATTTAAAGATATTCAAAGCATGCTTAAGTTGACTCCTAATTGACCACCTACATATTTTAAAAAAATTGATTAATGTAAAATCGTACATGACATGCGAGATTGTGTATTGTTTTCACTTAATAGATTTACCATCTAAATATTAATTTCCCAATGGTTTAGGAAAAAAACAGAAAATCCTGTTCAGTGAATGGTTTGAAAAAATCCAGAAAAGTTTTGAGCAGTTTTACTTCATTGCCAAGTCCCCCGATCCTAAGGAGCCTCGTCCAGATCTAGTTAACAAGAGGGGGATCTACAAGGATACACTGAACGCCTCGCAGTGCTGGACAGACTACCAGCTGAGGTGTAACTTCCCTATAGCCATGGTCGCAGTAAGTTGGAGCTACAGTTTCTCACACTTTACCCCACTGACGTGTCTCACTTACCTGGTGCTAATTTAAAGTCCAGTTTAACTTCCCTATAGCCATGGTCGCAGTAAGTTGGAGCTACAGTTTCTCACACTTTATCCCACTGGAGTGTCTCACTGGTGCTAATATAAAGTCCAGTTTAATTTCCCTATAGCCATGGTCGCAGTAAGTTGGAGCTACAGTTTCTCACACTTTATCCCACTGGAGTGTCTCACTTATCTGGTGCTAATATAAAGTCCAGTTTAATTTCCCTATAGCCATGGTCGCAGTAAGTTGGAGCAACAGTTTCTCACACTTTATCCCACTGGAGTGTCTCACTGGTGCTAATATAAAGTCCAGTTTAACTTCCTTATAGCCATGGTCGCAGTAAGTTGGAGCTACAGTTTGTCACACTTTATCCCACTGGAGTGTCTCACTTACCTGGTGCTAATATAAAGTCCAGTTTAACTTCCTTATAGCCATGGTCGCAGTAAGTTGGAGCTACAGTTTGTCACACTTTATCCCACTGGAGTGTCTCACTTACCTGGTGCTAATATAAAGTCCAGTTTAACTTCCTTATAGCCATGGTCGCAGTAAGTTGGAGCTACAGTTTGTCACACTTTATCCCACTGGAGTGTCTCACTTACCTGGTGCTAATATAAAGTCCAGTTTAACTTCCCCTAGAACTGTTTTTATCATGTTTCCGACAAAAATGTCATTTGTTTGATCGAGTTTCTATCTGACATTATAAGCACACTATAAAGATAGTAAATAATTTTCTCTTTCTCCCAGTGTCCAGAAATCTTTAGTCCTGAGAATGCTTGGTCAGCATTGACTGTGGTGGAGAAAGTTTTAATGGGCCCATTAGGGATGAAGACTCTAGACTCAAGGTAAACTACCTGCCCTTATGTGTGAGTTGTCTGGTGCAAAGTTCTAGTTAGTATCTCAAGTAGACTTGACCATCTTAATTAAACTTGACCACCCTGTGTGACCAGCCTACTTAATTCTGATCATACTGATTAGACAAACATCCCAATTACACTTGACCACTCTGTATAGATTTGACAATACTATATAGACTTGACCATCCTGATTAGACAAACATCCCAATTACACTTGACCACTCTGTATAGATTTGACAATACTATATAGACTTTACCATCCTGATTAGACAAACATCCCAATTACACTTGACCACTCTGTATAGATTTGACAATACTATATAGACTTGACCATCCTGATTAGACAAACATCCCAATTACACTTGACCACTCTGTATAGATTTGACAATACTATATAGACTTGACCATCCTGATTACACAAACATCCCAATTACACTTGACCACTCTGTATAGATTTGTCAATACTATATAGACTTGACCATCCTGATTAGATTTGACTCGAACATCTTATGAAGATTTCATCAATGAAATTTACAATATAGTGTTTGTTTTGCTTTTACAAAGACTACTAGTATAGGAGTATGATGCTTTGTTTTGCAGTGACTACTGGTATAGGGGAGACTACTATAATGTCAATGTTTTGTTTTACAGTGACTACTGGTATAGGGGAGACTACTCTAATGTCAATGTTTTGTTTTACAGTGACTACTGGTATAGGGGAGACTACTATAATGTCAATGTTTTGTTTTACAGTGACTACTGGTATAGGGGAGACTACTCTAATGTCAATGTTTTGTTTTACAGTGACTACTGGTATAGGGGAGACTACTGTAGTGTCAATGTTTTGTTTTACAGTGACTACTGGTATAGGGGAGACTACTATAATGTCAATGTTTTGTTTTACAGTGACTACTGGTATAGGGGAGACTACTCTAATGTCAATGTTTTGTTTTACAGTGACTACTGGTATAGGGGAGACTACTATAATGACAATGATACCACAGATATTCATGTTGCCAATGGATGGAACTACCATCAAGGACCAGTATGTATACATGAACAGTTTAGGTTTACTATTTTAACTTTATTATATATAGAATATAGGTGTATATTGTAATCAAACACAAAAATCAAATGAAATTTTTACAATTTTAGCAGTTTGCATTTCTATACTTCAGTTTTGCAAGAAATCTATCTTGAAGATTTTATCTGTTCGTCGGAAAACTTGGTTTAGCAATTTGTTGGTGTGTTCGTCTGTGTGTATGTCTGTAAGCACAATAACTTGAGTTCCTTTTCAACAATGTTGAAAAAATTTCATATCAAAGTTTTTTTATCATATTTGTAATCACTATCAACTTTTGTGTGAGGTAACCGGGAGTGTTACTTATTCTCTAGTATCTCAAAAACTGATAACTTGAGTATTGTTCAAGTTAGTTGAATAAAATTTCACATGTAAGTGAGAGCCAAATAGTACTTGACAAACGAACCTAATTTAATTTCTATAACAGGAATGGTTGTGGCTTTTGGGATTTTTCCTGATAGCCAAATTGTATTTTGTGAGAGCCAAATTTTATTTTGTGAGAGCCAAATTTTATTTTGTGAGAGCCAAATAGTACTTTGTCAAATGAACCTACTTTAATTTCTACAACAGGAATGGTTGTGGCCTGTGGGATTTTTCCTGATAGCCAAATTGTATTTTGTGAGAGCCAAATTGTATTTTGTGAGAGCCAAATTTTATTTTGTGAGAGCCAAATAGTACTTTGTCAAATGAACCTACTTTAATTTCTACAACAGGAATGGTTGTGGCCTGTGGGATTTTTCCTGATAGCCAAATTGTATTTTGTGAGAGCCAAATTGTATTTTGTGAGAGCCAAATTGTATTTTGTGAGAGCCAAATAGTACTTTGTCAAATGAACCTACTTTAATTTCTACAACAGGAATGGTTGTGGCCTGTGGGATTTTTCCTGAGAGCCAAATTGTATTTTGCCAAAAAACTTGAAGCCAAATCTCCCGGAACTTTACACGCCACCAAGATGTACGTCAACTCAGTGCTGTGTAAACACTACGAGGAGATCTTAAAGAACCCGTACATGGGCTTGCCAGAACTGACCAATTCTAATGGACAGGTTTGTGTAGTTCCTCAAACTATTCTCTGTGAACTAGGCCACTCATTGTGTGATTTGTTGCCATATGCCATTTAATCTGGGATACGGTATGCCATTTATTCTGTGATTAGTCACCATAAACTGTTTAATATGGGATACAATAAGCCAATTAATCTGTGTTTTAATAAGCCGTTTATTCTGTGATTAGTTACCATAAACTGTTTAATATGGGATACAATAAGCCAATTAATCTTTTATAATAAGCCGTTTATTCTGTGATTAGATACCATATACTGTTTTATATGGGATACAATAAGCCAATTATTCTGTGTTTCAATAAGCCAATTAATCTGTTACAATAAGCCATTTATTCTGTGTTTTAATAAGCCATTTTTTCTGTGTTTCCAGTTCTGCCCGGGCAGCTGCCGGACCCAGGCCTGGAGCTCTGCTACAATCCTGGAGACCATGTACGACCTTGCCAAGCTTGATGACTAGAAACGTGGCTCTCATTGATAGACCCTGCCGCCCTCTGGCTACTAGAATTGGTGGTCTTTAGCTTTAATTTGTTGACGGAGTTGAACTGATATCTAAGTATTGCCACAGCAAGGGGTCCCACACTGCAGGGGTCCCACACTGCAGGGGTCCCTGCAAGTTACCCCACTGTGGAGGTGACATGACAGGTTTTTGTTTTGACATATGGTATTTGACATGAAGATGACATTTAGATTTATTTAAACTGTTGGCATTTTATTTTTTTTGAATATTCCCATGATTACTGTGATGATGTCTGTACATTGCGTGTACATAATTTGTGTGTGCTGTTTTAGGATACTATAATGCTGTTTGAAACTTGAAGAACTATTTGTACTATATTTTGTATGACTATATTTTTACTCAAACCCCTGCCCCTTCACATAATTTAAAACAGACAGCTCTATACTAGTGTCTGAGTAACAAGATTTTTAACTTAGCTCCTGATGTACCACCTTGGCTGTGTTGTCATTCAAGTTCCCATAACCACTGAATGGTTGTCTTACAATAACCAGAGTAACTTCCCCTTGTGTCAGTACACACTATGCTTGTACTGGCCCCTATTTAGTCACTGTTTACATGTATACACTCTATGATGATTCACTATGTCATGTTGGTTGTTTTTTTTCTCTATTCTTTATAGTCACTAAATAGTCAATAAATTTTCTTCAGTATTATCCTGGAAAAAATTTCAGTTTTTTAAATGTTTCATTTGTATGTGATCTAGTATCTAATAAAATACATTTAGATTAGTGTTGACAAGACCTCTAGTAGGTTACATATATGTAAATAAAATTATATTAAATCTGCAATTGGTAGTAAAGATCTAATTAGCTTTTACATAGTTTAAATTTCAAATTTTTGGCTAAATCTTGAATAAGAACACAAAATTGGAAACAAGAACAAAACAAAGTTTATTTATTATAATTAGAGTCACCTGGGGGTAACTAGTCTAAACAGACAGCATTATTTTATTGAGGTAGTAAAAATTGTTCTAATAATAGTAATATCAAACAAAAAGGTAGACCACAGATATTGTCTGTTATATTTACACATTTTAACATCTTTGTATACATATCAAGAAGCTGGTGTATTGCAATGGTGACACCATATCACCAATATAAGGTGACTGGTGGTCACCATTTACTAGAGGCAGTACCGTCAGAAGGCGGGGGTGCTATCCACACCATGTGACATGATTTTGGGGTGACAACAAATTGATAAAAAGTACAATTTAATGTCTAAACAATTTTTATCAAATGAAATAATAAAATAGTAGAGGCGAGAGGTGACACTAAACTAAAAACTAAACAATGGTGTTTGGGGGGGGGGGTGACTCCAGACTTTGTGACACCACTGATGACAAGGTGTTCCCACTAAAAAGGTTTGTGTACATTTTGTAACAGTAAATAGGACATTTTCTATCCACTCTACAAAACGCTATAACATTTCAAAAGATAACTGCTCTAGTATAATATAACATTTCAAAAGATAACAGCTCTAATATAGTATAACTTTGAAAAAATAACTGCTCTAATAATGTATAACATTTCAAAAGACCCTATAATATAACATTTCTTGGACATCCTCCCCCCACCCTTCGTGAAGAGCCCAGCACTGAGAAAAATGTAGTGATATTAATAACATAGGCAGCACGTCATATTACTAATTTGTTATTAGGCAACAACAAGCTGCATCACAACTACTAGGAAATCAAATCTTACACTGTATTACAAGGGAAAACATTTTTAAGCCAGGGTGTCAAATTAGTCACAATACCAAAAATAGCAGCTTAGAAAACACAATAATTTAACAAATTAAAGGCTTTTCTATTTTTGATGTTGCTCTGTTGTCAATACCACCCTAACCCCTCCCCCGCGTTACATAATATATATAAAAAAATAAAATCCCTTCGTGTTATATGATACGTGCACGATTCCTAAGCAATATATCATATTTTGCTGCATTATGAAATCTTGACATGTTTAAAATTCAATGGACATAACCTAATTAAAACTTGATTAACACGTCAACTCGGCTGCGCGAAGATCTCAATACAAACCGCATTGAACTGCACGGAGACCAGAGAAAAAAACAAACCCAGCGGCAATAACAATAGGACCAAGTCCCGGAGACATTCTCTCCCCTTATTTCTACTCCATTCAACAGGACTGAACGATTGGAGGTCGTGACCTCATTCTGTAGGTTCGTCACGTTACACTGAGGAATTTCAAGGGCTTTGGTAAGGGGGGGGGAGGGAGAGGAGGTTTGAGGCATTAACAGGTGGACATTCTATACTAGCCCATTTCTCTCCCGCTGACACAGGAGGGGGGGGGGGGGTTTGGATTGAAACACGGCTTACACAGGTTGAGGCGAGGGAAACTTCATTGTTTGGCTCGAGGATTTATTGAGTCGGTCCGTGTTTGTTCTGACATTAGACAACGCTAGCCTTCACAACACTCCACACGTTAGACCCCACCACACTACACACGCTAGCTCTCACAAAACTAGACACGCTAGACCTCACAAAACTAGACACGCTAGCCCTCACAAAACTACACGCTAGACCTCACAAAACTAGACACGCTAGCCCTCACAAAACTACACGCTAGACCTCTCGGGGCGTTCCTCTGCTAACCTGAAAGTCTCGAGTTCGGATCCTGGGCTTAAGTCTGTAGAACATCCCTGAGTCCACCCAGTCCTAATGGGTACCTGTCTCACGTTAGGGAAAGTAAAGCCTCGTGTGCATAGTGCTGACCACACCATCCCTTTAAATACGGAGATGTCTGCAGTAGGTGACCTGTGTAAGATCATCTGCCCTGTATCTCGTACTATCAGTTGACGATTAGGTAGATGATTGCTGGGTTAGGACATATTTATTTATCAGAAAAAGATTTCAACCTCAAAGAAACAAAAACCCATGTAACACACAGCATAGAATATAATATGGATAAATGCAAAACAGGTGGCCGCTAAATGGTCAACAATTAATTAGTATACACAACTAACATCTAAATGGCTAACAAGGGGAATTAATTACTGTACAAAGTTAACATCGTCAATTAAATGTGGTGTGATTCATGTTGGAGAGTTCACAAATGAAAAGGTCACGTGCCTTTGTTTACATTCTTCTAGCTTGGACCACAAATAATTGGACGTTATTAACGTAAACACTGCCCAGCTTGGTAGCTTCTGTGTGTTGCCCTGTGCTTCCTGTTGACATGTTTGCCATTCATTAACACGGATAAACAACACACAAATTCTTCACACATCGATTGATGTCATTTTAAGGAATGTTCTAGAAAAAAAAATGGTCTTCTAAAACAAAGATGGAACCCTGAGCAGTTCTGCTAAACACAGAATCAACAAAACAAGCAGACTACAAGCAGTCAAGTATTCTGCGCAGTTCAACACTGTCCGCCATTAAATAACAATCTCCAAGCTAAGGTCACTTTCCGACTCAGACGGGGTGAAGCAGTCGATACTAGAATTAAGAATTTCCGGCGGAAGTGCGCTGTCTTCTGATTCACTACACACATACTTGGTGTCACGTGTATGTGCATAGACATACATGTCAGATTTGATATGGCTGTTGTCTAAAATAAATATCTGGCCGCCCTGCTGTTGGGTATGTTTGGAATGTTTTATCTGGCCAGTCTGCCAAATGTTCTCGTAAACAACGTCCGTCAACTTCCCTGGGATATCTGGTGTCGTCTGCTGACCCAGGGCATCAGTGTTCGTGTCCTGACGACTGACAACATGTGCTTTACTCTGCAGCAATTCCAGAGTTGGCAGTTTGGCCGTGAGTACTTCAGAGCAGTGTGAGATGTGTTGGCTAGCAGTCTGGAGACCAGCTTTGTCAACTGCCTTATCCGGGGTTTGGTTGAGGGTTTCTTCACTTTGCGTTTTTCTTGCGGGCTTTGCTAAACCATGTATAGGGTTCGTTGAACCTTGTATAGGGTTTGTTGAACCTTGTATAAGGCTCGTTGTGCCGTGAACAGGGTTCATTGTGCCGTGAACAGGGTTCATTGAGCCGTGTACAGGGTTCGATGAAACGTGTACAGGAGACATTGAACCTTTCATTTTCCTGTTGATTTTAGTTGCCCCGCCGGGCTTGTCTTTAAGCTGTTGGTTTTGTTGGGCTGGAGTGTCACCATGTTCACGCTGTACATTAATAGGAGGTAGATGAGTGGTAATACTGTCAGTCATACCAGCAGCCATACTGCCAGCCATACCAGCAGCCATACTGCCAGCCATACTGTCGTTTTTCTTCTGTAGCTTTGAGGTAGTTGTCTTGTGATGTGGAGGGTCGTGCCGTTTCGCGGAACGGCTTTTTTTAGTTTTTGGACCATGGCTGGGGTCTGAAGCGGGCGAAGACATGTTGTGTCTGCTTCCGGGTACATCAAGCGAGACTCCGGAATCTTCGTTTCCGATACCCGATAAATCCTCGAGGTTGGAGCGGTGTATTTGTTGACAGGGTGGATGATGGTGCAGTTTTTTATGACGTATTTCTCTGAGGTGGGATGGTAATTCCTGATCGTCTTCGACAGATTCAGGCACCGTTGTGATAGACCTGATGATGGAGGACACTTCAGAACCGTCACAACACTGACAGCACTCGCCCGCGGTCTCGCCATCTCCAGCCCACTTGCCGGTCCTTGCCGTCAGGATCTGGGGCAGCTCTGCTGACCGGTCGGTGCTGTAACCGTCAGAGTACCAGCGGTGTTCGGCGCTCCTTTGAGACAAGATTTTCCTGTGCGGCAGATCCTTGAAGGATGTTTTATGTGCTGGTTTAGGGTTTTCTCCTGAGTGGTAGCCTCGACAACTGGTACCTACAGACGAGCGCTCGTCGTCTGCAGCGTTGAAGGTCTCAAGACTGCAGGTCAGGAGCTGGTTAGCGAAGTTGGAGTCACCGCTGGGTAGCCACACCGGTCTCTTGGAAGAATGGTCATCTTCAGACCGGTCAAGCTCAGTTCTGATTGAGCTTAGTTCTGACTCGGAAGTGTTCGGCTGACCTGTTGTTTTCCCTTTGCCTCGTTTTCGCGACTTGTCGTGTGATGTAGCGTCAGTGTTGCTGATGGAGGAAGAGCTCACGTCGTTCTTGTCGAGATGGTTGCTGAGCCTTTCGTCGCTGCAGGACGCCAGCTTCTGCTGTAGCCGAGCCTGCAGGGAACTAGCTGTGGCTGTGGAGTTTCGCTCCGAGTCCAACAGCGAGCCGCCGAAGGAATGTTTACAAAACGGGCCGCAGTAGTCCGTATGGTGGCACTGCTGGACCAGACCATCGTTTGCTGCGGAGCTGACCAGAGACGGGGGATGATGTGTGGAGTTCCCCATCTTACAGGCCAGGCAGTTTTCGTTCCTGCATCTGTTTTCTGGCGAGTCTTTGTCAGAGGTCAAGTGGAAAAACTTGTAGTAAACGATCATCGATACAACGGACATGACAAAGACAAAGGCAGCGACATAGAGGAAGGGGCAGTTGTTGGAGAACTCTCGAGAGTTGGACTGTATGAGCCAGACGGCTAGCAGTGTCGCATTCTCCAGGAACATGATGACGTAGTAGAACGTGTATCTAAACACCGTGTTCTCTGGACACGTGTTGATGAACGCGAAGATGTACGTGTAAGATGTAATGAGGGAGTAGAGGAATTTCTGCGCAGGTCTCTGCGATCTCAAGGTCGACGACCCCATAACAGGAATGCACACGCAGACAAGCATGGCCGCCCAGTGCAGGCCGAGTACAAGGAAAACCCAGTGAGTGTAAATAGATGCGAACAGTCCGAGTGATATCATACGGGTCAAGATTTCTCCGCCTCGCCACAGAAGCTTCAGCAGCGTACCTGGCCAAGCGACTAGCGCAAGGTCAAGGCCGTGGTCTGGAACACATTTCCTGAAGGTGGACAGCGCCCAGGTGATGGAGATGAGCAGCGTGACCTCTGACACGTACGCTGCCCACAGCCACCAGACATCGAAGGCATCACGGAGCAGCAGGTAGATCTGTGCCAGGAAGACCGTGCAGCCGGTCGTCACGGCGTAGGACGCTCGCAGAATCAGCAGCTCCACCACTTCCGCTCTCTTGGACGGTATCGGCGCCTCCTGCAGCACGGCAAAGTGCCGGCTGATGAACCCGAGCTGCAGCACGTGCAGGACTGCAGTCATCGTGACCTCGTATGACGTGGACGTCTCGCCTTTCCTCCTGAGCAGCATGACGGCCGAGACCAGCTGGACGGCCACCAGGGGGATGATGACCAGCCCAGCTGTGACGCTGAACCAGGGCGCCTTGAGGTCCCCCTGCTGGAACAACGTGTGGCAGAACAGCCCACACGCCGCCAGCTCCATCAGATGGCTGATCAGCGACACCACTACAAACACCACAAAACGCGGCGACAACTGCGATGACGTCATCTCACGATTAATTTTTTTTTTACGCTGACATCCAGCACAGGATCTTCCCGATTACCCACACCAGCGGAAAGATCCGAACCGATTGATCCCAGGGGCCATCCCTCTGACCTCCCATGTAACGCATTACCCTAAGCATGATTGACAGTTACATCATGGGCGTTTAACAACAGGTTCCGCTCCAGCGGTTTGACCCCCCGTCCTCTGTCCTCATTGTGTAGGAGATCCAGGCCTAACAAAGACTTTTGTTTCGTGTCCTGCCCAGTGTCGGGGATATTTCCATACAACCAGTGAATAAGATGAATCGGGAGATAATCTTTATTCGTCAGGGTGAATTGACTGCATTCACGATCACACCGCAGCAATATCCGGGCTTGGTTTTAGGGCTGTAGATGCTTCACCCCCCTGAATGCTGGGGTAGCTCAAGCAGCTAGTCAACCTCTAGCTCCTTTGTTAAAAGTCAGGATCATAAATTAGATCCAGTAGAGACAGTATCCCTGGGCCACTTGACGTGTACAAAGATAGGTTTGTTCACGTGACCTGCTACAGTGCTACGTTTGTTCCAAGTTTTTAAAAAATTCTCTCCCTGAATCTCGTTCACAACGAAGGCCAAGGCCGCGAATACTAGTGTGTGTTGCAGCTGAGCGTGTCGTGTGTTGCTTGATGCGGTGTGCCGTGTCATGTGTTGGTTGATGCGGTGTGCCGAAGCTTGAATGGGACGTCAGGTAGCGATAGATGACAGGCGATGGTGTTGTGGCGTCGTCGGGATTGAAGGCTTTCTCTGTCTACATTGGGGGAGGGGGGGGGGGGAGGCTGTGGAGAAAAAAAATTAACTTTATCGTACTGGTGGAAAATCCAAAATGAATGGACAACAACGAGTTTGACTAAATGGTCTTTGTAATAATTGTTGACGTGAATACAAAACGTGTATTTGTTACGTTTGCATTTACAACAGCCGTGATAACAAAACAAATTTAAACCTGAATTTTTTAATAGAAATTTTATACTCTAAGAATCAATGTTATAAAAATTGCTAATCCAGAAAACTGGAAAAACATTTTTTTTGCGTTTAATGGTACAATTTCATGTATTTTCATCAGGTTTGAATTAGAACCTGAAGTTTTACTATCGTAGTGTAAACATTTATTAGCTTCGGTCGCGGTGAATTTTGGATATTTAGTTTCTGACTCCATGTCATGTTACTCACAGTTTTTTTGTTGTGGTTCTTGGGGTGGGAAGTGTGGGGTTGAGTGAATGTTGCTGTGTCACATAGTGTGGCCCTACATTGACGCGAACAGTCTTGTAATGGTACAAGTGTCACATATAGTGTAGCCCTATACTGTGATGGTACCAGTGTCACATATAGTGTAGCCCTATACTGTGATGGTAGGAGTGTCACAAATGTAGCCCTATACTGTAGCCAACAGTCTTGTGATGGTACCAGTGTCACATATGTAGCCTTACACTGTAGCGAATAGTCCTCACAGAAATATTTCCACTAGTCCCCTACGGCTGTAAACATCTACCGAATCCATCAAAGGAGCGTTTCATTGAAGGGGACACATTTTTGTAAGACGTCACCCCAAATATCTCCAGCACAAAAACTTTAATAGTTTGACTGAATTGTCGCCCCTGTTCCAATAGGCTTCGTTTATTGCGTGTATCAAAGCGGCCACAGGTGTTAAGCTTTACTCGAAACTTCGGATCTAAAAAACAGCATAAAAATTTCAAGTGCCTCTACTCCATTTCAACATTCTCCCGCCGCGGCTCGCATAGTTTGCGGTTTTAATGCGGCCCGGTGACCGTGCGGGTTAATATGAAGTCTATTGTCGGCGGTACGTGAGGAAAGACGAGTCTTTCACTGGCGTGACATTTGACCTCCTGCCTTGGACCCTGTCAGGCAGGCGTCGGCCTGCTGCTACACGACCTGACACAGGTAAGCCAGACTTACCTACCCTTGTTCGACAGGTCCCTGTCGGAGTTGTCAGCCCTTGATGGCAGACGGAAAGCTCCGGGGGGTGGGGATGGGGGAGAGGGGTGTCAAATATTCTGGAGAAAGTTGGCGAAGGAAGGGCGCAGTGTAAGGATAGCACCTCGGCGGGGATGCGGGCTGGTTTCAGCTTTTACCTGGGGCAGGTGGGGAGGGCCTACATTTTCCTGCTTACATTATTAAGGTAATATTTACATGAGAAATTTATGACGTGAATATTTACACGATGGAATTATGACGTTCTTATTTACTTGGCAAGGTTATGACGTCATTATTTGCATCGTAAAATATGATGGCAGTATTTACATAGTAAATTGACGGGGTTAATATTTCCATTGAAAGCTGTGACGTCAGTGTTTGCGTGGCTGAGTGTTAAAAATGTGAAGTTACGATTAACTTGCAAAAAATAAAGAATTTTGGGCCGGTTATAAAGAATTTGGGCCGGAGAATTACCGTCAAAGTTGGCAAGTAAGTCAATATTTACAAACAGGAACCGAAAATTACCAACTCTACATTTACTGGGTAAAATTATATATATTTTTTTACTTGTAAAATTATAATTCAACATTTTTCTAGGCTAATAGGGGCCCATATATACATTAGTAAGTTTAGCCATGGTTTAATCAAGTCTCATCTTTGTTAAGAGTTCAAACTTGTCGTTGAAATTTGTATTTAAGCAAGCTGAAGGCTTGAATCTGTTATTAAAAGCTGTCGAAGATCCTGACAAGTTTCATCTGAGCATCGTTTGCTGATCACACAAACAGCTGGACAGACACACTGATAACATCACAGCGATGTCCCAGTTACAACATTGTGGTTGAAATGTCGGGAGAAAGTCTTGGATTTCTCAGCTACTCCGGTAGGAACCAGCAATTGCAAGGAAGTGTCGTTGCTGGCTTAGAGATTACAAGAAACCAATTACAGACAATTAGCAATTAGTGCCAATTAGCTATGACATGATTAGGGGCTATCGTTGTCTTTTTGTAATCCCCAGCGTGGGGTCTGACTTGGGCGTGGCGAGACAGATAATTTGAACATCTAGCCTAGAGTTGGGCGTGGCGAGACAGATAATTTGAACATCTAGCCTAGAGTTGGGCGTGGCGAGACAGATAATTTGAACATCTAGCCTAGAGTTGGGCGTGGCGAGACAGATAATTTGCACATCTAGCCTAGAGTTGGGCGTGGCGAGACAGATAATTTGAACATCTAGCCTAGAGTTGGGCGTGGCGAGACAGATAATTTGAACATCTAGCCTAGAGTTGGGCGTGGCGAGACAGATAATTTGAACATCTAGCCTAGAGTTGGGCGTGGCGAGACAGATAATTTGAACATCTAGCCTAGAGTTGGGCGTGGCGAGACAGATAATTTGAACATCTAGCCTAGAGTTGGGCGTGGCGAGACAGATAATTTGAACATCTAGCCTAGAGTTGGGCGTGGCGAGACAGATAATTTGAACATCTAGCCTAGAGTTGGGCGTGGCGAGACAGATAATTTGAACATCTAGCCTAGAGTTGGGCGTGGCGAGACAGATAATTTGAACATCTAGCCTAGAGTTGGGCGTGGCGAGACAGATAATTTGAACATCTAGCCTAGAGTTGGGCGTGGCGAGACAGATAATTTGAACATCTAGCCTAGAGTTGGGCGTGGCGAGACAGATAATTTGAACATCTAGCCTAGAGTTGGGCGTGGCGAGACAGATAATTTGAACATCTAGCCTAGAGTTGGGCGTGGCGAGACAGATAATTTGAACATCTAGCCTAGAGTTGGGCGTGGCGAGACAGATAATTTGAACATCTAGCCTAGAGTTGGGCGTGGCGAGACAGATAATTTGAACATCTAGCCTAGAGTTGGGCGTGGCGAGACAGATAATTTGAACATCTAGCCTAGAGTTGGGCGTGGCGAGACAGATAATTTGAACATCTAGCCTAGAGTTGGGCGTGGCGAGACAGATAATTTGAACATCTAGCCTAGAGTTGGGCGTGGCGAGACAGATAATTTGAACATCTAGCCTAGAGTTGGGCGTGGCGAGACAGATAATTTGAACATCTAGCCTAGAGTTGGGCGTGGCGAGACAGATAATTTGAACATCTAGCCTAGAGTTGGGCGTGGCGAGACAGATAATTTGCACATCTAGCCTAGAGTTGGGCGTGGCGAGACAGATAATTTGAACATCTAGCCTAGAGTTGGGCGTGGCGAGACAGATAATTTGAACATCTAGCCTAGAGTTGGGCGTGGCGAGACAGATAATTTGAACATCTAGCCTAGAGTTGGGCGTGGCGAGACAGATAATTTGAACATCTAGCCTAGAGTTGGGCGTGGCGAGACAGATAATTTGAACATCTAGCCTAGAGTTGGGCGTGGCGAGACAGATAATTTGAACATCTAGCCTAGAGTTGGGCGTGGCGAGACAGATAATTTGAACATCTAGCCTAGAGTTGGGCGTGGCGAGACAGATAATTTGAACATCTAGTCTAGAGTTGGGCGTGGCGAGACGGATAATTTGAACATCTAGCCTAGAGTTGGGCGTGGCGAGACAGATAATTTGAACATCTAGCCTAGAGTTGGGCGTGGCGAGACAGATAATTTGAACATCTAGCCTAGAGTTGGGCGTGGCGAGACAGATAATTTGAACATCTAGCCTAGAGTTGGGCGTGGCGAGACAGATAATTTGAACATCTAGCCTAGAGTTGGGCGTGGCGAGACAGATAATTTGAACATCTAGCCTAGAGTTGGGCGTGGCGAGACAGATAATTTGAACATCTAGCCTAGAGTTGGGCGTGGCGAGACAGATAATTTGAACATCTAGCCTAGAGTTGGGCGTGGCGAGACAGATAATTTGAACATCTAGCCTAGAGTTGGGCGTGGCGAGACAGATAATTTGAACATCTAGCCTAGAGTTGGGCGTGGCGAGACAGATAATTTGAACATCTAGCCTAGAGTTGGGCGTGGCGAGACAGATAATTTGAACATCTAGCCTAGAGTTGGGCGTGGCGAGACAGATAATTTGAACATCTAGCCTAGAGTTGGGCGTGGCGAGACAGATAATTTGAACATCTAGCCTAGAGTTGGGCGTGGCGAGACAGATAATTTGAACATCTAGCCTAGAGTTGGGCGTGGCGAGACAGATAATTTGAACATCTAGCCTAGAGTTGGGCGTGGCGAGACAGATAATTTGAACATCTAGCCTAGAGTTGGGCGTGGCGAGACAGATAATTTGAACATCTAGCCTAGAGTTGGTCTCGGTGAGTGTTAAAGGCAGTCAAGGCCTAGGCGCTTAGAGTATTTAAGATGGGCGTCGTTTTCTGCAAGGTCAGTTTTGTCAGTGGGTGGGTAATTAAACACTTTATCAAATTATCACAAACTAATTACCGAAACGTCTATGGGCGGTGGTGTTTAAAGACTATGCTGATATACCTTATACAATAAATACTCTCAGTTTTTCTTGGAGTTGGAGTGAAATACCATTGTATCTACCACAATACACTTACTGTTCATTGAGTGAAATTCAACTTTTACTGCAATACACATAGTTTCCCAAGTGAGTGAATTCAACCTTGTCTGCTACAATACACCCATCATTTCATTGAATGAAATTCAACTTTGTCACCTTAGTCTAGCAGGTGAAGAGTAAGAGCAAACACCTAACCAGTTAAACAAACAACATGATTTGATTAAACGAATAACTTGATTTGATTAAACAAACAACTTGATTTGATTAAACAAACAACTTGATTTGATTAAACAAACAACATGATTTGATTAAACAAACAACTTGATTTGATTAAACAAA